TCATATACCACTGTATCCAGGGTAGTGGGGACTCGCCCCTCCAGCAAGGAGACCCCTCCTAACTGGGTGTCACCAGGAGCTTGTATAACACCTTAGCCAGGGTAGAGGGTTCTTGCCCCTCCAGGGTCGAGGGTTCTTGCCCCTCCGTAGGCAGGGGAGAGGGGAATCGCCCCTCCTTGTCACAGAACCCCTCCCACCTGGGAGTAGGGGGAGCTCCTACACCACTGCAGCCAGGGTAGAAGGAACACGCACCTCCAGGGAGGAGACCCCTCCCACCTGGGTGTCTCTGGGAACTCCTATACAGCAGCAGCCAGGGGAGAGCCAACTCGCCCCTCCAGGCGAGACACCCCTCCCATCTTGATTCTATGGTAAGCTTGAATTCTGCCTTAGTCAGGGTAGAGGATACTTGCCCATCCAAGTGTGAGACCCCTCCAGCCTGGGTGTTGGAGCAGGGCAGGTATACAGATGCAGCCAGAGTAGCAGAGACTCACCTCTCCAGGAAGGAGACCACTTTCATCTGGATGTCAGGGGGAGCTCTTATCCTGCTGCAACCATTGTAGATGGGACTTGCCCCTCAAGGCAAGAGACCTCTCCCTCTTGGATGTGTGGGGGTGGAGCTCCTATGTCTCCAAAGCCAGGGCACAGGGGACTTGCTCCTCCAGTCAAAGACACTTAAAACCTGGGTGTCAGTGGGAGCTCCTATACCACCACAGGCAGGGTCCAAGGGACTCTACATTCCAGGTGGGAGCCTCCTCCCAACTGGGAGTCAGGAGAGCCTATACTGCAGCAGCCAGGGTATAGAAGACTTGCTCTTCCAGGCGGGAGACCTCTTCCACCTGGTTGTCTCAGAGAGCTTGTATTCCACCTTAGCCAGGGTAGCAGGGACTTGCCCCTCCAGGCAGGAGACCCTCTTCACCTTGTTGTCAAGGGGAGCTCTTATCTCACCAAAACCATTGTAGAGGGAACTTTCCCCTCACAGCAAGAGACCCCTCCTCACTGGGTGTGAGGGGGAGCTCCTATATCTCCAGAGCCAGGGTGGAGGGGACTTTCTCCTGGAAGCATGAGACCCCTCCCACCTGGGTGTCTGTGGGAGCTCTTATACCTCCACAGGCAGTGTCCAGGGGACTCTACCCTCCAGGTGGGAGATTCCTCTCACCTGGGTGTCAGCAGAGCTCCTATACTGCAGCAGCCAGGTTTGAGGGGACTCGCCCCTCCAGGCAGGAAACCCCTTCCACCTGGGTGTCTCAGGGAGCTTGTATACCACCTTAGCCAAGATAGAGGCCACTTACCCCTCTAGACAGGATATCCTTCCCGCTTGGGTATCAAGGGGAGCTCATATACTACTGCAGCCAGGGTAGAGGGTACTTGCCGCACCAGGCCAGAACCCCTCCAACCAGGGTGTCAGGGGGAGGTTGTATACTGCCCCATCCAGGGTAGAGGGGACTTGGCTCTCCAGGCAGAAGAACCCTCCCACCTTGGTGTCAAGGAAAGATAGTATACCACTGCAGCCAGGGTAGAGTGTACTCGCCCCTTCAGGAGGGAGACCCCTCCCATCTGGGTTGGGGAGGGGAGCTAGTATACCACTGCAGCCAGGGTAGTGGGCACTCGCCCCTCTAGGCCGGTGACCCCTCCCACCTGGGTGTCAGAGGGAGCTCATATAAACTGCAGACAGGCAAGAGGGGAATTTGCCCTCCAGTTGGATTACCCCTCCCACCTGGGTGTGGGGGAGCTCATATGCTGCCACAGCCAGGATAGACAGAACTCTCCCCTCCAGACGGGGGACCCATCACACTTGGGTGTCTATGGGAGCTCATACACCACCAAAGCCAGGGTAGAGTGGACTCTCCACTTCAGGTGGGAGAACCCTTCCACCTTGATGCCCTAGTGAGCTTCTATACCATTGCAGGAAGGGTATAAGGGACTCTCCCCTCCAAGAGGGAGACTCCTCCCACCTCAGTTTCAGGGGAGCTCCAGTACCACAGCAGCCAGTATAGAGGGGAGTTGCCCCTTTACCCGGGAGAGCACTCCCACCTGGGTGTATGGGGGAACTGTATACCTCAGCAGCCAGGTTAGAGGTGACTCGACCCACTGGGTGAAAGAACCCTCCAACCTGGGTGTCAAATGCAGCTCACATACCCCAGCAGCCAGGGTAGAGGCAACACACTCCTCCAGGATGGAGACACCTCCCACTTGGGAATGGGGGTAACTCCTATACCGCCTCAGCAGGGTAGAGGGGACTGACCCCTCCAGGCCAAAGACCCCTCCCACATGGGTGTCTGGCGAGAGGGTGTTCATATACAGCTGCAGAGTGGGTAGCAGCCACTAACCCCTCCAGGCGGGAGATCCCTCCCTCCTGGGGGAAGGAGGGGGCATTTATACTTCTGCAGCCAAGGTTGAGGGGGTTTGCCCCTTCAGGTGGGAGACCCTCACACTTGAGTGGGGGAGAAGCTCATATACCTCTGCAGCCAGGGTAGTGGGGACTGGCCCCTCGAGGCAGGAGAACCCTCCCACCTGGGTTTATTGGGGAGCTTATATACCACCTCAGGGATTTGCCTGTCCATGTGAAGACCACTCCTACCTGTGTGTGTGTGGGGAGGGGGCGCTTATATAGCGTCTTAGTCAGGGTAGAGAATATTTGCCCCTCCAGGCATGAGACCCCTCCCACCTAGGTGTAGAGGGGATCTCCTATACCACTACAGCCAGGGTAGAAGACTAGCCATTTCAGGCGTGAGACCCCTTCCACCTGGGTTTCTGAGGGAGCTCCTATACAACCGCAAGCAGTGTAGAGGGGACTCTACCCACCAGGCAGGAGACTCCTCATACCTGCTTGTCATGGGAACTCATAAACTGCAGCAGCCAGGGTAGAGGGGGACTTGCCTCTCCTGGCAAGAGACCCCTCCCACCTGGGTGTCAGAGGCAGATCTTATACACCTGCAGTCAAGATAGAGGGGACTAGTAACTCCAGTCGGGAGACACCTCTCATATGGTTGTGGGAGGTGGAGCACGTATACCTCTGCAGCCAGGTTATTGGGGACTTACTGCTCCAGGCAGGAGACTCCTCCCACCTGGGTTTCTTGGGGAGCTTGCATACCACCTTGGCCAGGATAGAGGGAACTCTCCTGTATGTGTGGAAGACTACTCCCACCTGTGTGTAGGGGGGCACTAATATAGCGCCTTAGCCAGGGTAGAGAAGACTTGCCCCTCCAGGCTTGAGACCTCTCCCACTGGGTGTAGGGGGGAGTTCCTATACCACTGCAGCCAAGGTAGAGGTGACTCCCCACTCCAAGGGAGAAACCCATCCAACCTGGGTGTCAGGGAAAACTAGTATATCAGTGCAACCAGCATCAAACGGACTTGCCCTTCAGGTGGGAGAACCCTCCCATCTTGGTGGGTGGGGGAGCTTGTATAACACAGCAGACTGAGTAGAGGGGACTTGCCCCTCCAATCTGGAGACCCCTCCCACCTGGGTGCCTGGGAGAGTTGGTATACCCCCTCAGCCAGGGTAGAGGGGAGTCACCCCTTTATGCAGGAGACCCCTCCCACCTGGGTGTAAGGTGGAGCTTGTATACCACTGCATCCAGGGTAGAATGGAATCACCCCTTCCCCAGGCAGAATTTCCCTCCCATCTAGGTGTCAGGTGGAGCACATATACCCCAGCAGCCAGGGCAGAGGCAACTCGCCCCTCCAGTTGAGATACCCCTCCCACCTGGGTTTTGGGGGAGCTCCTGTACCTCCGCAACCAGGGTAGAGGGGACTTGCACTTCCAGGCAGGAGACCCCTCCCACCTGCATGTTGGAGGGTGGGACTCATATACTGCCACAGCTAGGTTAGCAGGGACTCACCACGCCAGGGGGGACACCCCTCTTACCTGGGTGTTGGGGGAGCTTGCATATCTCCATAGCCAGGGAAGAGGGGACTCGCCCATCCGGTTGTAGACCCTTCCCACCTTGTTGTGGGGGGACCTGCTGGGTTCAGACCCAAAGGACTTGAAAGCATTGGGTCCAAAAGACACTTTCATATCCTGAGTTCACAGAAAACCTGATCCCCAGTATGACTGGAGACTAGGGAAAAATTGTCTTAGTGGGGTGTGGGGGAGATAGGGCCAAAATGGGGGCAAAAGAGATGGTCTGAGTGGGGGACTTTGAAGGCCAAAGGATCTTAGAGAGTGTGGGGAATTTTCTTATTTTGGCTAAACTGTGTACATGATGTCATACAGGCTTGTAGAATTGTATTCTGTTCTGAGCCCTTTATTCTCAGGATTAGCAAATCACTAACTTTACTCAAATCCATCAGCATGCATCTGTCTATATATCTATCCATCTGTCTATGTACCAGCCATCCCTCCTTCCACCCATCTGCCCATTTTCTCTTCCATGCATCATGGATTTGTGTATTTACCCACCCATCTACCCATTCATCCAGCCATCCATTCAGACATACATACATCTTCCCATCAGTCCATGCATCCTCCCACCCATTCACCCATACTTCCATTCATCCAGGGGCACTTGGCCACTTCACCACATCCCCAGCCCTGTTTTGTATTTTATTTAGAGTCAAGATCTTAGCACCCTATTTTTTGCTGATGCTGGCTTGAAAAAGCAATCCTCCTGTCTCAGCCTCCTGAGATGCTGGGATTACAGTCCTGCACCACCATGCTTGTACTTCTTATTTCCTCATTGGTCTGAAAACAGGTTGGAGTCACCATCTGGGGTTATTTTCTCAGATCCATCACAGTTATGTTCCCACCCACCTTGTTTGAACCACAGTGAAAAGGGGGACTGGGGATGTAGCTCAGTGCTAAAGTGCCCCCACCCTCAATTCAATCTCTACATGGGGGACAATAAAAGCACCTGGAATTCAATTCTCAGCTCTGGGCAGTTATGTGCCCATGTTTCCACACTTTTTACACAAGATCCCCCCTTGTCCATGGGCAATATTGTTAGGTAGAATGAATGTGAGACACTGTGTAGGATGTGAAAGACTTCACAAAGTCCAACTTAAGAGAAGAGAATAAAATTGTATTTACTTTCCATTATGGGAGTTAATATGACAGGCTGTATTGGCCCCAAGTGGCAAATTTTTATGTTTTATATGCGGGTTTTCTGGCAGAGCTGAGCAGGGTTATTATTTCTTTCTTGTTTAACTATCAGTTGAAACCCAGGAAGCTGAGAGCGCTGGGTCAGCTTCTGGGGGTACGTTGCTTCCTAGGCAGGATGCAGATGGGCTTGTGGCTTTTCCTGAAAATGTTGGTGCATCTGAAACCTTGACATGGAAAGGGTAGAAAAGAGGGGAACTTTATACTGAGAGAAAATAATGAGGTCAGTCTGTGCAATAGAATGACATATTTCAAGGGGGAAAATGAGCTTGAGCTCACAGACATGTTATGAGACTACAGATGCCTAAAGCCTAACCTAATACAATTTTACATGTTATGATATTATTTGCATATCACCTATTGCAAAAATAATACAATATTATTCTTTTACAATAAATACAAACTCCTACATACAATTTCCCCTATACATTCATGGCAATGATTTCCCATTCTAGAAAATCTCAAAGCCCTTGTCAGCACCTGAACACAGGGTAAGGACAGGGTTTCCTTGTCTCCCTGGTGTAGCTGCACTGGTAAAAGTTTCTTTCCTGCTTTCAATCAATG